TATCCCAAGGATCTGCGTCAACCAAGCTACTATGACTACCTTTAAAGGTAGTCATATAATAATGGCATATACCTATAATAATGCAGAGTTTACGAGTTTGGATTAAATATGTAACTATTGTGTATTTTTACAACACTACAAATAAAACTGAAATAAGACTTGAAGTAGACCGATGAAAGAAATTATTAAAAATAATTTTAACAACAAAAACAATTGGTCACGTTTCTAAGAATTATTTATATAATCAAAATGTTTGCTATAAGACATTTGCTTGATATTCCAATGAATGACTTTTCAAGTACCCTATGCATATACAATAATATATATAATTATAGAAAATGATTTTTTTGTGGTGCGCTCCATCTACCGCCAACGAGAAACAAGTTCAAATAGACATAAAACGATATCTAGTGTTAAATGCTTCAATTTTAAGTTTTTTTTTAAGAGAAAAGAAAGTAACAGACTAAAATAGGTGTCAGTATTATAGAAGTTCTGATTTACATAAGAAACAATACCTGTAAGCAGTTTTTCTTTAATTTCTTTCCCATCCCATGTTTTTTCGTGAAAAAGTAGGGCGAGTGCCAAGTATCGGATTTCAAGTCAACAATAAATTTAGACAAAGTTTGTTCTATATTTCCAAAGACAGCTGTAAAAATTTTTCCGTAAATGTTATAATATATACACCTATTATTAAAAAGTCACTTTCGAGAGAGGTTCATAAAACTACATAATTTAGAACACTTCTGATTTAGGAAACACGTATCTGTTGCAGACTGAAAAAAGGATTTTGATTGAATTCACATCTTCAGTTTTTGAAAAATATACGACTATATAGATAAATGCATACTTATATATATATTCACATAACACATATATATTTAAAAAAATATTGATAAATTATTTGCTTTAAGCATTGACAACAAAATCAATATTAACTAATTTTTATTATTTAATTCAAGTACTAAGTGAGTGTACAAAATAGCTCAAAAGGTGATCAACTCTGAAGGAGTTAGCGGTAACAATTATCAAGAAGTTTATTATTTCAATATCTTTCACTACTAAGCTGAAGTTAAAGCTATTCATGAAACAAATGAGATGAAGAAGTGTAATAAGTTCATATGATATAACATATGTTATAGTTACATCTGCCATCTCTCGAACAATCAAGCTAATTTCAAATCAGTCACAATAGACGACATTAAGAGCAGTGGTCTTAATGTTATAACTGAAGCAAGCAGCATTCCTCTAACAGAGATTTCGAATTACAGTGAGATTGTTAGATTGTGACACGTTATAATGTTGTTAAGATGGCAAGGTAAGGCACAACTGCATACCTTTATATCCTATAAAGACACATAAGACACAAAATAACTGTAAAAGTGGATAGCAAATGAAAACCACATAGTCTACTAAGACTATAAAATAGTAAAAACATCCAGCAGTCGTCGACTACACTTAATAAACGTTGTTGACGAATGGAATGACATAGCTATGTAAACAGGATCAAATTCGGAATTCCCGTTAATTTAACAGAAGCAGTATTAGTTAGTTTACTATACCTCCATCAGTACAAGCAACCGCTTAACAGATGTTCGTGAGTCTAGATTGAGTGACTCCAGAAGTAGCTTTGGTACAAGTTATGATGACGAAAAAACAAAATCATTGGAACTTTTCTAGTTTAAAAAACTAAATGGGTTTATAAACATCCAAGTTTGTTTAATGATTGGTTGGAAAATAACAGTATATTATATATTACTATAGATTTATAATTAGTGAACGGCATATAAATACCTGCACCATAGAGTACCAGTTCAACTTCTATAAATTTTTTATTGGTTGCCACTATATACTGTAATCTTAACAATGAATAGTTTATTGGGTCTATTGTACTCGTTCAAAGACGTAACATAGACAGTACGACTTTTGATTTATAATATGGAGAATGTAAGGATTGATTATTGGTAAAGTATTTAATACTTGTATCTGATAGATATCTTTCTAAAAGTATAATATCGGAAATTTAGAGTAATTTCTCTGTAATCATAGCTCCCATGTCGTGGGAGTTATGGTATTCTGTGTGATATGTTAAGTGTGTTTACTTCTAAAAAAAAAATTCAAAAAAAACTTTATTATCTGATTTGTAGTTTTTATATGATTTTTACATATTATATATATATATATAAATTACATATTTTTAAGCATTGTTTGGCTTTCTTTGCCATAATTTGTTCTATATATGAAAGTATTATCTTCGACTTATCATACTTCCGAGCAATTAAAATTTGATGAGTTAAGTGAACAGGTTTAATTACTTATGTTTATTTTTAAATATTTTTCGGGAATATTTTAAGTAACAAATGTTTTGAATCAAATTTGATAACGTCAATCGGTCTGGGCAAATAACTAATTAAATATGTACAAATGTTTGTAAAATTACTTAGCAAATATTGTGTCACTTATAAATTTAAAGTATGTATAAGTAAAATGAAAGATTCTTGTCTGATCAGTACTTTTATGTCAACTGAGTATCTCAAAAGTGTATAAAATTTAAAATTTTACAGCATTGCTCAACAAATATTAAAATTTTACATATCAAATTTGATAGTCATTATCAGATAATTGAATTTTAATATTATTTTTTAAGTCTGAACTGTGATTGTTACATGATTTAATTAAATATTAAATATTACTTGAAATATAAATATAAATTTTAAAATAAATTGATTTTTAACATCCGCTTTGACGAAAGAAACGAAGTTGTTAATAAAAACTATTATTTTCAATTGAGAAACTTTTTTGAAAAAAAAATGGTATTTAAAAATTTTGATTAATTAATAATAATAAAAAATTTTGTTGTTGAAATTAACTACTGTTCGATAAAAATTTTAATATAATTAATTTTAATCTCATACTTTCAAGAACAAATCTTGTGAATAAAAAGAGTTAAATCGTTGAATAAAATTGTTGATTCTAAGTAAATTTATTTAAAAAAATGGATCCAAAAAAGTATCAATGAATACTGGAATGGAATAGACGGCCTATATCATTCCAAAAATTCCTAAATTTTGATGCCTAAAGAGCAAATACCGCTCTCAATCTAAGCAAGAAGAGTCTAAAGTCACTCTCTGATGCACTAACAGGCCACGCCGCATGTAATAAACACCTACATAAAATAGGTATATCAGACACTAATATTTGCAGATTCTGCTGTGATGAGGAAGAGTTTATGGAACATCTGATCACCAACTGTGATGCACTAGGCCACAGAAGAAACAAAATTTTAGGTACATACTAACTAGAGGATGAAGACCTTCGAAAACTCCCTCCGAAGGAGCTGGTTCGATAGTAAATATCTAAATACAAAGGGGTGCACAATAGATCAAACTGATCGCAGTGCATAGGGGCCTTAGCCTAACCCGAAAATTCTCAAATACCATTGCTCGGTAATAAATACCAATATTATCCATCGAATCTCCTCCACAGCCTCTAAGCTTTTGAAACTGACAAACGAGTTAATTACTAAGCATTTCATCTAGTTTTTTTAATTGAGTGGTACCATCTAGCTTCATATATAGAACCCCATTAGGTCTCAAATATCTCAAATAGTAGTAAGACAAAAAAAGTATAGTCAATCTTATTATTTGTCACTTGGATATTGTTGGGAAGATTAAAGCAGAAAGCAAAAAATATTAAAGGTAATACATTTAACAACAAGATATAAAATCAAAAAAGTATATAAGGGAGTTTAAAACCTGGTAGACATGAGTATAGAAAACATTTTGCACTACAGTAACTCAACTTCATTTGTGATAAATTTTAAGCAAAAGAAAAAGTTAAGATAATGAAAATGTCACATTTTAAAATAAATGTCAGTGACAGTTAATTTTAATAAAATCGTGAAAATATTTTGAAAATAGTGCAAACTTTTAAATTTGAATATAGAGAAAAAAAGTGTAACTGTTGTTAGTTTAAAATGAAATGGAAAATAATAATTCGTATATTTGAAATCTACTAAAACTATAATAATCTATAATTTTAATAAACTATAATAATCAACTTTTAAAATTTCCCAGATACACATGGTGTTTGGAGCATATATTTTTTAACATTAGTATTTGTAAACAAAAAACATATGATTTTCTTAATTTGCTGCAGTATGAACACTTTCGAAATGAACTTAATTCATTTTCACGAAATTATAGAACATAGTATAACATATAGAAATAGGACGTGTGCGAGTTCGAGTAAATTGAGGTAAAGTAAATTGAAACTTCCTAGGAATTTTTTGTACTGCAGTTATGTAAATATTTATTTATTGCACTTATTTTTGGTTAAAAGTTTTCTCTAATTTTTGTCTAATTTAGCCTACTCAAAATTCTGGTAAATACCAACATTCTCTGTCATACCGACATAATTTACCATTTCCCTCAATTTACCCTCAACTTACTCGAACTCGCACACGACCATACCATAATATTCTATATTCCAAAAAGGTTTAACAATTTTTTTGAGATATTAAAATATTTAATAAAAAAGACTGTTACACTTTTTATAGCCATCACTGTACGAAGAGAACATTTTAAATTTTGCAAATGTCAAAATTGCTTTATGTATGAGCACGAGAATATGTGATAATTGTAAAGAAAAACAACTGCAAGCAACACACACACACATTCATACAGAAATGAGCAATGCATATGAGTGAATCAAAATAAAAATAATAAGTAAAACAGAAAATAATGGCTGGGCAGTGCTGTGCTGTGCTGTGCCTTTCAACTCTCCCCGTTTAGTTTATATTATAAAAATTAGTAAACATTACTAAACGCTTAGAAATATAGAATTTTTGGGAATGTACGTAATTCTTATCTTAACATACGATATAAGTTAAATAATGAAATGGCGCAATAATAGTTATCAGTTATCATTTTTACTTTACGCCTTAACATAAATAAAAACAAGATAAATTAAGTAAAATACTGAATTGTGATATTGATATTTACTAGCATTTCTTGCCCCTGGATTTCCACAATTTCGTTGGGGCTGTACGCCATGTCATAATAGTTGTGCTGATATCCAGTATTCGTATTGACATTTTGCTGCGCACCAAAATTATCAATCACTTCGAAAGCCTCCGCCGATGCCTCGATGGCAGCAAAATCAATGCCCGGATTACGCGACTTGAAATTCGACATAATCGCTAACTTCGAATCGTTTCTATTGGCACAAGACAAATTATTACTAAACGAATTATAATTATTATAAACTAAGCGTTTGGCACCGTCACTTGTCTGCTGCTGCTGCTGCTTCTGTGTGGAGCTATTTTCTTGCTCCTCCAATGCGTAACGCAACCACACTTCGCGACAATAACGTTGAAATAAATCTCTTTCTTTTTTCACTTGCAAGTACTGAAACGCTTTCGGCAAATTAAAATTACTACACCAAATTGCATCCACAAGAGCGTAAATAGAACTGTAAGCACAAAACACAAGAGCTGCCATAGAAGATCTCGGCAGTCAGAAGAATCTCACTCGCAGAAAAAAAAAACACGTAACACGCTCCTATAGCACTTAACTGCTTCTCTTATTGAATTTTTCACTGACTTTTTATTTACTTTGCTTGTTTTATACTATTTTTATTTAACTAGTTTTTCAGCTTCTCTTTCGCATACGGTTCGTTCGTCAGCTGCTTGCTCCGTACGTACATATGCAAACGTATGCAATGTGCGTAAATGCGTTTGTGTTTGTGTTCGTGTTTGGTATACACATATACGATATTGTGTTGTGCTAACCGCGGTATGAACTCAGTTCTAATTAGAATTTCTATGCCAGTTTCATGTGGCTCTCTTGAAGTGACAATGCTTAACTAAAAAAAAAACCAAACCAAACTGTGGGTAAAGCATGGAATCAATTTGTGTTGTGGTTGACGTTTGTCTTGCTTTATTTGTGAAATTGACTTTTTATATCTATTTTTATTATTATGTTTTCAATAAACAATCGAATTGATAATGTTTATGCGTACACTTAATAGTATTTAATAGCGTCATAAGTCTAAATCAACACATTTAACAAATTTAACAAGACAACAAATAAATACTCTCTGAAGCGATTGGTCAAATCCTAGTTTGTTTTTGTTTTTTTTTTGTTTTTATAAATTAATTTCAAAAAATTTATTCCTAATAAAATATTAATTATTAGAGATCGAATTTTCTGAACTACCAGTCTACGGAATCAACCACGCCACTTGACAGCCAACGATCGACCAACGATCAGCGTGCAGCTGAGATGACAGTGGTTCCAAGAACGGTTGGGTCTACGTCCCGGAGCCACTCGTCACCTACGACGACCAAGTACCGTTCAACACCTCCCAAAGCGATTCCACAAGCAGATCCCGGCGGGTTACAACAACAACAACAGCGCAAGCGCCTGTGGACAAGCTAATCGCCAGGAACGTCCTACTATCAATTAAGTAAATATAATATTTGATGTAAAAAATATTTTTTTAATAAAAATATTTAATTGTATATTTTTTAGGAAGCTCACAAGCTTCGAAATGTTAGCAAGGCAGATATCACTCCAAGAGAAAAATAAAAATGTCCTTCGGAGATCATTTGATGATATGAATACAATTATATTCTGGCTATAAAAGAAGCTTCAATATACGATGTTACACTGTGGCCGATTCGTCAATTGCAGTAACAGGTCAACAGATATCGTTCTGCTTTCCTTCTCACACTATCATCACTTAACCACACCTTAACTCATGCATACGACTTTGTAATTCCTTTGTTGTTGTTGTAACTTACAACGATCTGTACATGTAGTCTGTTTTGGGGGTCTATTTTTGGAACGAAACTTGCTCAGCGATGTAAACCTGGCCTTATCTATTTTATACATACATACGTGCGGGACACAACAGCAATATATTGTCCCACTTTTTGTTTGGATTACGACGACTGTAAAAAAAAATATACTACAAACGGAATATAAACAATTTTACGATATTCACACAAATCTTGAAAGGCTTTTAACATGTTCTTGTAAACTGCACTATTTAGAATACGATTGGGTAAGAAAAAGTCTTATTTTTTAAAAATATATTTTACTTTCTAAACAATACCACTAACTAACTTTTATTGATTTTAAAACAGGTCTGACCAGACACTGCTATGACCCTGCTACTCTAAAAACATATTCTTCCTGTAATCCGAACTGTTTTTAATACAATTGAATAAGAAAAAAACAGTTAATTTCTTTAAAATATATATTATTTTATAAACTGCACACCTGTGACTAACTGTTATGCAGATCTACCAAGACTCCGTTATCACCCAGCCATTCTGGAAACGTACTATTCTTGTATACTCCCCGGTGGTAAATGAAAACAAAATCTTAACACGATGATTAGGTTACAATCTATTGTATAATATATTCCATATGACACCACTAAAAACTTTATTGAAGTTATGTAAAGTTTGCTGGCTAACTTAATGCCATCTCAATTTAATTTCAGGACCGACTGGATCCACGTTTCAAGAGTTTTCCAAGTAGACACGAATCTAGAACAAGGGATAAACAACAGGACTTTTTTATGGACTACAACAACAATAATAATCTATATAGTACATTACCAAGATAAGAATGTGTACCTTAAGTTATCACTTCAAAGTTTCAGACCATTTAATATTTTGTAAGAGAACCCTTCATATCAACGAATTTGTATTTATGGCAAAAAATCCATAGAATTTTTTAATGATGTCATGAATGATAATAATTTTAAAAAAATGTGGTAACTATTTATTTATTAGTTTTCTAAATTCAAGACAATATATTTTAATTAATTATATATATTCATTATGTTGAATTATATGGAAATAATAGAATACTCCGCATGATACTTCTATTTTTACGTATCAAAAAATATATATTTATATGCATATATATATATAACAGTTATATATAAAAGTTTGTACCATAATATGTAGTTCCAAATTTTGAATAAAAATAATTATTATATTGGTATTCTTGTAACCCGTGGAGATTTATCGTGCAGATAACGTGAAAAGAATTGCAAAAACGTATACGTGGGTTAGATGTATAGGATGCATATATGTATAGGATAGTTATATTATGGTAGAAAGTATTTTAACCAACTGATCAATACAGTTAAGCATCGTATACATTATATATTATTTAATATAAAAATATTAAATCACTTTTTAAAATGTGCTTTCTATAGCCAAATATATAATTATAATTAAATTGCATATAAATATATATAACAGTAAACTCTCCTAAATTAAAATTACATTGTTTCGCGTGTTAGTACAAAAATAAATACAAAATTAATTTAAAAATGTCATTTTAATTTTATTTTCTATATATATATATATATATTTTTTATATATAACAATCCATATTGTTTGTTATTGTGGATTAATTTATAAAACTCCAATGTAGGACCCAACGTTTGGTCATATACTTAGAGAAAATTTATATCTACTTTTATAGCATTTGATTGAACTATTAATTAGATAGTCAAAATAACGAGTATGGTAATTCCCTATTAATCATCAAGGTATCTACAAACAATTTATAATTCCTTATATTATAATTTAATTGTTATAATTTTTGGACGTTAAAATTTCGAAGAGTTCTAATATCAGAGTGTCCACTGTATTCTATATAATAGTTTGAATGAACTTCTATATGTGTAACATATCAAAAAATGACATTTGTTTGCCTTCACAAAAACTTCCTGAAGATGACCGTTGAAGAGGTCCAATATATTGGACGTTTTATAAAATGAAATATATGTTTAAGTATAGGTAACCAACGTAAATTATTGTAAAATAAAAATACAACTAATATAGTAATAAAAGCACTATAACATATCACACAAATCTATTGCTTTCATAGATTTGAAGACTTTCACGCCCATGTCTTCATCGTGGAACCAATCTTCTACTCAGACGATTCAGTACAACTCGATAATTCAAACAAGACTCTGGTTATTTTTAGTAATTATTATTAATGTATTTAGTTTTAACAAAAATATACTTTGGTAGGGGCTTTCAGATAATTTTCTAGATTAAAATAATGCTTTTATGTTTATATATTAAACATTCATAATGCATTTATAATTTTACGATTTTCCATCGATTTATTTCGGGGTGGCTTCTGATTTCCCTTTGCATGCATAGTGATCCCTGATGAGAATCTCCTTGACAAATATATGCTGTTAACCTTCAATGTTGAACTCGTTTCTGAAAGTCGCATGACACAAGTAGATAAGATAGATAATAGTTTCACCTTATGTGGTACTTAACAGAAGCATTCCCATTTAAGATACCAGTGATTAATCTGAGTTCACATATTTTTAGATTAAAATATCTATCATTTTTAACATTGATTTGTGTGATCTATTTGGACAGCCTTAGACCTTGCTTAGTTCAATGTTTTAAACATTGTTCAGTCTGACAAGTTGATATCTCGCAATGAGATTCGGTTTCTAGGGAGTTAGTATACTGTTTTCTCTACACTTGACAGCTATTTGGTCATCATCGAATGTTTCTGGTTGGTGTAACAATAACTAGTAAATAGTAAAGCTATTTATGTGATTAGTTTTACAAACAAGGCCATTCGTTATCAAGAATTGAGTGTCACACACAATTTCCGTCGAAGTTACACTTATTGCAAGAAAAAAGAACTGAGGAACCTTCTCCAAAAGCGAGGAATCTATTACTCTAAGGCTATAATAACGTTATATTATACTCTAATATAACTTTAATAATAATATATAAGACTAACTAACTCTAAGAACATAATAATATAACTTTAAGTCATATATAAAAAATAAATTAAATAACATTTCCATAAATATTAGATTCCTGGAGAATGCGTCCCATTCTTCCAATGAATGAATAATGAATTCTTAAGTAAATTATATTTTATAACCGATTTTCAAAAAATTTTTATAGATATTCTACTCTTTTTTTTATTTCACTATTATTTTTAGTACATATTCCATAAGAATAAAAGTGCTATAAAAGTGCTTACCTCCTTCTCTTCGTCGCTGCAACTGTTGACTTCCTTACTTATGCAGGACAATTTCGAAGATCTTTTGCGGGACTTAGATTTTTTATAACAAGGCATTTTTAGTAAAATGTTTTTATAATATTATTAAACGTGAAATAGATGTAGTCCAAATATCATATACACTATTATTTATAATTCATTATTTTCTATAAGTTTCTGCAGGGAATTTAGTTCTGTCTTCTATGAGGCCACATAGACAAGTTGTTGGTTTGTATTAAAAATAATTTTAACTCAATATTTTCCAAGATTTCTCAATTTTTTTTCTTTAAAAATGATAATAGGAAAATAAATAAAATATGATTCAAGGTATGTTCTTGAGACACAAATTGTCAGTTAATTGGTTTATCAATATTAACTGATAACTCGTCAAGTAGTACAAGAAACATTGATATGGAAAATAAACGGTAGATAGTAGCTTTTGCAGAGTATTGCTGCCATATTAAATATTAAGTTATTATTATTAATTAATATATTAATTTTATGTATGTTTTGATTTTTTTATTATTGCAAATGAGTAAAAATAGTATATAGGTAAAATTCTTGCTCATGCAGTCAAAGTATATAGTTATATATAATTTATTCGATATTCAAGGTCAAAGCATATTAAAATCTATGCTGACAACGATTTTCACTTTTAGATTTCATAGATCACCGAACGAACGAACGCCCGCCTTTAAAGCCAAAACACCATTCGACGCGCTCCACACGCACGGCTAACTGATTTTCTCGCTATTCAAATCGTGAACACAACAAACACTAAACATTTTTGTTTATACTCTGACGTGCCCAGTCGTGTCTTTTCTATAAATTTTTATTGCAAATTTTGTTGGTATTTTGTTGTATTATTGATAACGCTACCTCAATTTTGTAGGTATGCTACATTTAATAGATACATAGTTATGTTAACAATAATAAAAGTTTATATCTTCCCACTTTGATACATTATAGTTCTTAGAAATTTATATATATATTTTATGAAGAGGTTTTTTCGAATAGTAGTGAAACACAACAACAAAAATTTTAATTTTTATATTATTTTAATTAATTGAATTTTGGGTTGACCATACAGCTGTTTCGAGTATTACCAAATACCCATCATCAGTGGTCTTGGAAATAATTCTTGTATTTAATTATTCGTAAATAATATATATTTTTTATATGTTTTATATAATAACATAGTAACATTTTAATGTATATAATGGCTTTCATGAATGACCAATTCTTCATCGTGAAACTAATCTTCTACTCAGACGATTCAGTACAACCCGATAATTCAAACAAGACTCTGGTTAGTATTAATAATTATTATTAATGTATTTAGTTATTACAAAAATTTACTGCGGTAGGGCTTTCAAGTGAGTATCTTCTCACTTTGAAACATCATAGTTTTTAGAAATTTATATATGTATATATTTTATATAATAACATAGTAACATTTTAATATATATAATGGTTCCACCATAATTACTACATAATAACACTCTACGACACTGAATTCACTTTTTGATTTTTCAATATTATTAGCTTTATTTGGGTGTACTAAGCTCAAATCTACAAACCCATGTCTCTCCTGGATATTACGATCCCTTGCAATACCTCTTGTTATATATAGTATAGTAATTGAGGTTTCAAATGTTTAATAAAAAATTCTTATTTTAAGAGATAAGAATTTCGTGTCTTCAGTAAAGTTGGTACGAATAAATAGATAAATATTTTAGCATTAGGGATCCTTTTCCAAATGGGGTATTTAAAAAAAAAAAGATAAATACTTTCTAAAGCGATTTTTTTTCTACACCTTGATTTTAAGAAAAATTCTATTCAGAGAGCGAAGGAATAGAATTTGAGAAAGTATGTCTAAGACAAAAATATTAATGTATATCTTAAAATAAAAATTGCTTAATAACTATGAAACAATTTCTCTGCATAAGTACCTCCAGAACTAGTCTCCAGAAGTAATAGGTTTTTAAGAAAGCATATTTTCCGAGTTAGAGTATTTATTGGTAAGGACGAAAGATCTATTAATATATCAAAATTTGATGGGATGAATTTTACGTTCACGTTTACGTTTTCTATCTTAAAATTTATTGCAAGAAATGTGAGCAACCAACCCGTCCTTTAAAATGTCTGTTTTAAAACTTGAACCCGTTATTGCAAGAGATATAGATGTCTGAGATTTCATATTTGAGATTAGTGAACCCAAATTAATCTAATGCCATTGAAAAATTGAAAATGAGAAAAAGGAATACATTTTTGTCACACATTTGTCGCATATTGCAATTAAACAATATATAATAATGACATTAGTATAATAACTATGCAATGTTTAATTATTAATTACAGAAAATAACTAGATATATAAAAAATTAATTAATTTTTACACTAAATAAAAGTACATACTTGAATTTATTTGTGGTATATTAAATAATACAAGTATAGCGTCCATGAATAATTAATTATATTTAAATAGCCCCAGCAATCCGAAAATCAGCCTAATATGTCTGTAAACAAACGCTTTTAGAAATGAACTGTGCAATTTTGACAGTCCACAGTTATTAGTTGTCATAAGAATTATTTACTTTTATGTGAACATTTTTTTTAACTGGATAGAATTGCTGGATCCGTCGATATTCATTTAAAATAGATATTTTCACTTCACTATACCTGTTGCGTATGAAGTCGTTTTAAATCCACTGTGTAAAAGTTGGTGCAGCATATGAACTCATTCATTGTGCCCAATCAGATCAATTTCTAGTTTGCCTAAGAGACTTACTCATGATCTCTTTGACTGAATGTGAGGTCATGAATGTAAATCTAAAATGTAATTGTTATAAGATTCTATAGCAGTTGCATTCTAATCTGAATCTTTTAAATCCATTTTGGTATCGAGAGGAGAATTCATTGATCAAAAGATTATCATACACATACTAGTATCTAGCTTATATCATATGATAGCTATAAAATATAAGTTCCATCCATTGTTCAATAAAAACATGTTTCTGAACCGTCACTTCCACCCAAATCTGAATCCATCCAAACAAAATAAACAGTTTTTTAATATTTTCATCACATACCAAATTTTAAATAATACCAGGCGGTGTAAATAATAAAAAATATCAGCTCTGACTTATCAATTCATATGCTCGTTATTAGATATATATATATTGTCATTCGATTTCAGTCATTCCGACAGAAAAATTTCCGAAATAAGTTTACTTCTCAAAAAATCTCTAATGAATCGATCTATTAAACCGATTAGACTCATCATGCTCATCACGAAAATATATTTTCTTCACAGGTATCCAATATGTCTTTCACAGTGCACAATGTTAAAAAGCGAAAAAGTCCATATATTCTAAATAGTAAATCGTATCAAGTTCGAACTAATGTCATTCGATGAAATTGGATAAAAAACTATATTAAAATTAATACAAAATAGATCTTTCTGATTTTTCCTTAAAACTTATATATTAAGAAATCAAATTCAAAAATTAAAATATATCTTTAAATTGGATTGTTATATCAATCTGATATTAGTTTTATTCTAAATCGAATTAAAAATATATTAAACTAGTAGATGACCCGGCGAACTCTGTTCCGCCTTAAAGGCAATAAATAAGCAGTTTTTTTTAATTGGAAAAAATACAAAAAAAAAAAAATACCTACATTAATCATTCATAATTTATTTGTGTATTTTAGTACACATCACAAATTATCTATTTGTTGACCTCTGTTGTTCGCTCGACCTTCAGTCCTTAAATTTGCAGTATTTCGTATTCTTCTTGCATTACGGCTTTGTCGGGAAAGATTCGATCGTCTTGGTCGTGGCATTATTAAAAAACTAAAAACTCAAATTTTCAACCATACCATACATTATAATTGTTAATTATTTATTTTGTTGAGTTTGCAACAACCAGGGAGTTTTATTGATTAAAAACGATATTTATTGCAACACAAACTTATATTGATCTAATACAACTTTTAAAAACACATTAACTAAGTTATATTTCTATCTGTTAAATTTTAATAAAATATTTTCTTATATCAAAAATTTGATAATTTCAAAACCTACTTTGTCGTGAACGGGATAAACAGGTATCCTATGTCCTTCTCCTGGCCTTAAACTACCTCCCTGCCAATTTTCAGCTAAATCGGTTCAGCCTATATCCTTCTCCTGGCCTTAAACTACCTCCCTGCCAATTTTCAGCTAAATCGGTTCAGCCGTTCTTGAGTTATAAGTGGTGTAACAAAAACACATCTTTCTTTTATATATATAGATTGTAATCATACTATCTATTCGAAAATCGTCGTTACTGCATGATACTTCAAAATCACATATAACTATTTTTTTTTTCATTACCTTTATTTTACAAATTATTATTCATCTTTATATAAAAATTGTAATTCATTGAAATATTGAAATCTGCTTAAATATGTATAGCGCATATATTACTAATACAAAATATATGGGAATGTAGCTCATTGCTGAGTCGAAGTGGCCATACTTTTCATCCTTTTATTTATATTATATTTATGAAAGAGTGATTTAAGCACTCTACTCGAGTATATTTACCTCATGTTTGTTTTGTATTGCAAAAATGATGTATGCGATATTTTTATATAGTTGAGGAGGGAATTATTTATTCAAACGTATAGATAACAGAAAAAGGTGCATTTTATAAATTACACATTTCCGTCATAAGAAAAAGATTAAAAAGTAATTAAGTCACTTTTACTAGACTTTATGGGTGTAGCTTGAAAGTGGAGTACGGGACCCAAGTTAACTAATTTTGTAATTGTAGAATTGTTTGTTAATTCGCTTACTGTATATCGCGAGCAAAATAAAAATTATCTGAAAATGATATAATAATATATATTGCATCAGAATAGGGAATATGGACTTAATTACTCCATTAGACTGCCTGCTTATACACATAGCCATATCTTAACCATTCTATATATCGCATTAAAGGAAACAGCAGTATCCGATTCACCACCCAATTTCTCTTCTTATCCACATTTATATTCAGTTTAAAAGCAAGTTATTTATATATGTATGTATGTATATATGTTGGAACTAAAAGAATCTTTAGATGATCATATCTAGTGTCTGACTTTAAGAGGATAAAAAAGTTGATGATTAATTATACATCAAATGTTTACGTTTTAGACCATACTTTAAATTTGTTTATCAATAAATTTTATATTATGCCTACTAAAAGAAACCGTTATGGTTTTATGATCTAATAATTGAGTTGAGAGAACATTTCAGCTCTTTTTCAATATTATTGATTCCTAATATGTGGCTTATAGAAGAGCCAAAACACAAAACGGATTCTTAGATTTTCTGTAGTTTCTGAGAATATGCAAATAATATTTTAGATATAAAAACTTTATATGATTTGCTTTGGTAACTTATCAATGATTACCAACAATGATAGAACTCATTCTCGTAGTAAGGTAGTAATTAAGTCTTCTCTATAATTAACTATATTAATAAATTTATTGATCCATTTTCTTTTTAAATCAAATTTTGCATCAATAAAAACATCGATATATGTATGTATGGTCACTTGTATGGGGACTACTAAGGGGATTTGAGTTTTTAAAAACAATTTCTAAATGCAGTTCTTCAAAATGTTAAGACCTCAAATTGGATTCAGATAATTCAAACTGCATTAATAACTTATCTTTTAATTTGATTTTAGCCCGCCACATGATTTAAGAAATATGTTCAAATAGATATATTCAGTAATAAAATACAGAGTTGCATTTGGCATGCCTTTAAATACTTACAAAATTATTAACCGAAAAATGGCAGCAATGTACGAATAACATGGCTATCCGTAGTTAGTGACTTAATTATGTCTTCACAATTTTATAAGTATCATTTAATATTAATTAATTATTATAATTAATCATATGTTTACTGGTTTAGACAGTGATGCCCAGTGATGATTTTCTTAAGCACCAAAAATTGTTCTATTGGAGCATTCATGTGAAAAGAAATACACCTATAGTATAAACATAGAAAACATTTCCATTTATACATTAAGATTGAATTTTTGTAAACGTAGCGAACGTAGAATATGTAAATAGCAAAATGCAGAAGAAGTTATTGGTTATGGCAAAGTACACACAAAACAAAACCACAAACAACACAAGTTCAATCCGATCACCAAACACTTCGCACACAATGAAATGCAATTGCTTAAAGGCTTGAAACTTTTTTTTATATAAAATAAAATACACAAAAATTAAAACAAAAATTTTAATAATTAATAGTTAATTAAATAATAGTTAATTAAATTGATTGAAATTTGTGAAAATCGAACAATTATATCTAACTTTATTTTTAATACAATGCAAATGTAAATATATTAATATGCTATAAAGTACTCTAGTACTCTAAAAATATTTTGAAGTATATATGTACATATTTTATATATTAATTTATAATATATATATTCTTTTAATATTTAAATTTATATTTTATTAATATATTCATTTATATATATTTAAGCTATAATTTTAAAACAAATTAATTTTTTTTACCACTGCTGTGTTAAAGCAGTTATAACCGCTACCATTCCTTTCGTAACTTGAGTTGAATTCAGTAAATAATTATTTATATATAAATAAAAATAATAAAAATAATGGTTTTCCATCACATTTGCATTAAAATTCCATTGTTTACTTGCATGTGGTAGCGATTAGCCGCTGTTTTTGATTTCACCACGAAAAAAATAAAACAAAACAGTTTTCTACCACGAATGACAAATGATCAAATGTTGTTTGTTGAAAATGAATTATCATAAATCGATTCTTGTAGAAATTCATGTAATAGAGTATAATTAATAAACAGATTAATTATTATTAATTAATAATAAGTCTAAATTATAGTAAGAAAGATTTTCATTAAAATGGCTTAGTTAAGTTTTAAGTTATGATCCATGGACACCAGCTTTGAGTTTTCAGTTCTCAAACTTTGATTTATTAGGGAACCAATTTCATGTACTGGAATGCTGAAGAGAGTTTTTTTATTATTTTTTTTTAAGAATTACTAAGTTGTACAGGTAAGATCTGAAAATTTCTATTGCAGATTTCAAGTTCTAAAAATGTCTTGAATATTTATTGTACTCATTAGAAAAGATATTCGGTAATTAGAGAGCATTCTTTCCTGCTTTTACACTACAGTTAGAGATTTTAATATATATATATATATATATATACCTTTCAAATTTTATTAAAAAAAATTATAATTATAATATGCTGAAATGTATGAGACCAATTTATTTTTCTATATAGATTGGCAGTGGTATGTTCAATTTAAGGCACTTTCAATAAAATCTAGTAGTACAACAAAAAATTTATTATTTCGATTATTATCGACATAAGTTTTTGACTGGATCTGAAACATAGAAAGAAATTTCTAAAAAGTTCTTTGCATATTTAATCGTAAACCGTATATAACTTTTTAGTGTGTTGAAAATGGATGAAGAAATAATCGGTTCACCAGTTCCAGAAGAAAATTTGTATGAGGAAGATGATGAGTAAGACAAAAAATAATTTATAAAAAAGAAAATATATCCATATATAATAAATTATAAATATAACATATATTTAATCAATATAGAGATAATTTTTCGGGTGACTATCCTGCTTTTTCGTCAGATGAAGAGAGTGTAGAGGACAAAGATAAGGAAGACGAGGTAGGAAAATCAAAAATAGCAGAAAAAGAACTGCCAAAAAAGAGGGAACCTCTAATTGTTCTTCCCGCTACTCGTCAAAGGCCTGATTATAGATCAGATTTTGTTGCGATTCCAAAACCACAACGTCGCACTTCAATTTATATGACAAAATATGAACGGGCAGCTGCAATTGGTTCGCGAGCTCAACAATTAGCAAAAGGAGCTGCACCATTGGTTGATATAAAAAAGGTAACTGATCCACTGGAAATCGCTACGATGGAATTGATGCAAAAGCAGTTGCCAGTTGTTGTTCGTCGCTATCTTCCTAGCGAGGTGTTTGAAGATTGGGATATTAATGAATTAATTAATCGTGATGATTGAAACTTAACATTTTAAAAATAATTAAGAACATTGAAAATAAATATTAAAGTTAAATAAGCATTCAATTATTAAAATCTTTTTTTTGTGAAATATGATTTTTATTGAATATTTTAGTAAATCCGCTGACTAATATGTGTTTTCGAAATGTTTAATGATTCTAGAACGTTTGAAGTGTATTTGATTTTACATAGCTTAACAATCTATTGTTAAGGATTAATTATACTAAGGTCAACTTTTTATGGTGATCCAGCCAAATCGTGTGACTTATGCGTTAATTACTGGATTTATTCATCACAGAGAACCAACTAAACTCCATCCTAAGCGATTCATGTCGTTTAAATCCACTTAACCTAAAAGTCATCGAAGTTATGAAGCCAAGTCATATGTATATATTCATACACAAATAATATACAATATATAGTATTACAATATATAAATAATAAATCAGCAGCGGCTAAGCAATATCTTGTATTATTGAAGTTATGAAATTTTTTTTTGGGAAAACTTTGGACTAAAAAGTATAGTTGAAAATGAGTACATATATACCATGTATATGAAATATATATATCGTTGACTAGAGCCTATGTAATTTTACAAAAATTAGTGTCCTCCAAAAAAAGATAGTTGTCAACTGTGCAAGAAAATACCTTTAAAATGCTACATCTAGTCTAGAAGCAGTTCTAATACAAAATGATTGAAGATTAATCAGTAAAGCAAAAGTATACATAGATTTAAAGAACAGTCGCAATACTCCCATTAAAGCTGATCATAATCCGCTGAATACGATTTTCATGCTGAAGCCACAGCATGCAGCTCTTCCTACTCTACAAAAAGTACTACTAATGCCAGATTCTGTTTTCTCTACAGATTCATACGATGATAGTATAAGAGTATTGGACATAATACTTAAAAGTATTGGAAGGAAAAAATGAACAGGCTTGACTTGATTGTGTATTTGGTCAATACGGGATGACTTTGAGCAGCGTTCAACCATCATTAAAATGATATTCTAACTAAATTATTATCAGCCTGAAAGTTAGTTCGTTGGAAGCACAAATATTGAAACTGTATATATAAAGTTGTCGGAGATGAAGAATCACAATAACCAGCCAACTTAGTAGACAGACTTGTTCGGTTCAGGAGATTGAATAACGGGTTCGGATTGGTACAAATATTGGATTGGCAACCAACTAGCACGTTGATTTTTTTGACAGCTTTTGCAGCTCATAATAATAATCTACAGGAACCTTGAAAAAAACTTACAGGAGTATAATGCTTTGTTTACTGCTGGATTATTTAATGTTATATTTTCTCTTTTTTCTGTTGCCAAAATACTTATTTGAACTTCTAACGATAAACATAATATCTTCGAAATAGAATACAATTTTTCGATGTAAAGCAAGATATTCCTAAGCAAGATATTTGTTCTGCAAGTCTCGCTAAGAAGAAAGATATTCCTGCATCAGGCTGAGGTTGTATATATATATAGTGTTTGACCTAACATGTTCACGACTTTCTAAACATTACTTTTTAAACTATATATTAAGGAGATAAAGACATTGATGCGCTCTTGAATTAAATTAGGCCAATTTAACGATATATAAAATCATATATAATTATAATATACACAAGATAATTTTAGTAGTGATTAATCTTACGTTAGAATATTGCACTTGGTCTGTGATAACCATCCATTAGTTAGTGATTCCCAATTTACTTTTAAAACTTACCAAAAATTAGTTAATTACTAAAATTACTATGTAGATATTTCTAATATATAAACTTCAATATAAGTCCCAGCAAATTTTTTTAACGACATTTATTATACACACTCATATATAATATTATATATTATAAATGGATTAAGTCTAATAACAAATTAAATTTTTAAATCTTACAAATTATTTTTAATATATTATTACTAAATAATAATATTTATCATTATAGAATAATTCATTTTATCAAACATATAAGCATATATTATATGCTTTTAAGTCTCACAAGTAACAATTATTAATAATAACAATTATTATTATTTGATAATAATTTTTTTAAAATGTAACAAAATATTATTATTTTATTATTATAATATAATTTTAACATAATAAAAATTTTTTAGTAAATAAATTATAATGTTCATATAAAATTAAAGGTTTTTTTTTTAAATTTAGAACAATCAAAAATTATAGTTAAGCTCTTAAGTATTTTATAACATAAAAAGTCAATATTTAATATATGACTTATAAAAATATTTTAGTGCATTGAACCTAATATTATATGTTTTTAGATAGTGAATAATTTTTTAAAATATTTTACTGCACCGATTATTAAAATATTTAAATCGGTTTTACTAAACTAAAAAAATAATTGACTTAAATATTTTTTAGTTTTAAGCCAATCTATAGTAATAATTTTATTACTGATTTATATATATGTATGTACATCAAAATTGTAACATCGAAAAGTTATATATTAAGATTATTATATATTAAGAACATATATTAAGATTATTATATTTATGTAATTTTTAAAAGCAATCATACTTATTACTTTTTATTTTTCATATAACATTCCTTTGTTCTTATTGCTCATATCTGAACGAGTTGCCTAATTGCCCTCATGTTTACTATGAGATCGACCTAATATTAGAGCTTAATTCTTATCTTTTGACTCTGATGTACTGTTAAATAGTATCTCTATCATACCACTCCATGTATTTAAATTTACTCACATTAAAACTTTTATATCTCAACGACTTTTATAATAACTAGATATCTGCTCAATAATAGTCTCATCCCACCTTCGCGTAATTATTCTTTAATTCCCTCTTGATTTCTAAACTTATTTTCTCCTTATACTTCATTATGGTATTAAATATACTTATATATACTATAAACTTGAAATGACAACATAGAACTTTTGAAAATATCCGCTATATCGGATATTTCGGATAATAAATTATGTATGGTTATATATGACATATAGTTATATATGGTATTAAAAATTCTGAAATAACATTTATAATATTCAAAAGTTAAAACGTATTTAAATACAATATTTTATATTTACATATAACACACATCTATATTCTTAATATATATATATAGTAATTTTCTACTAAATTAATAAATTAATTTGTGAAACTTAATTATTATAATGATATATAAATTGCCATAGTCATTTAAAATTATCTTTATATTTTTATTAATATGATTTGATAGCTCAAAAATAAGACAATAAAAAAGTAACTAGATAAAATTAAAAAATATAATAATAATATTAGATATTTATTTTTTTTATATTGCATTAAACATATTTGTTAATTGTAAATGTTATATATTAACTCCAAACTAAGAGAATAAAAAAGTAACTAAATAAAATAAAAAACATAATAATTATATTAGACTTTTATTATTTTATGATGATGATTTTTATGACTTTTATTTTAATAATCTTATTTGTTAATTGTAAATATTATAGTCATATAAAATTACTATCATCATTTAATTAATATAGTTTCTTTAGCAGCTGTGAATTAAAAGTATAAGAAGAGGACTAGATGAAATAAAAAAAAATTATAATATATTTATATTATATTTGAATTATTTGTTATTTAAATTATTTTGTAATTTAATTATAATTTGTAATTGTAGTTGTTATTTGAATTTATTTTATTTATAATGTCTAAATTATTTACTTAATTTAAACACAATTAATGGAATGTATTTAACCATTTCAATTGAGAGATTTTAAACCCGCTTAATACAATAATTATATATAACTTAGAGAATAGCATTTAAAATGATTTCAAAATATTATATTTAATAACAAAATATAAAAAAGCTATAATAATAACTAAAAATAATATATAACTTATAAATAAATATGCAAAATAAATAAGATTTTTTAATATAATTAAAAAATGTTATAATGTTTTTATAAAAAATTTATTAATATTTTTATAAAGCGCAAAAATTAACAACATTTCTATATAAAAATGTTAGTAAAATAAACTGAAATCTTGCTAAAGTTTTATATTAAATACATAAACAATTTCTGTATTAATATTAAATTAAAAGAACTAATGTGATAAGTAAAAACTATTGTAATTAAAAACCATTAAAAGAATTAATTAAATTCCAATTATGAATAGTTATTAGTGGTAACAAAAAATTAACTCAAAATATTAGTATAAGTTATAAAGCTTTTTATATTATAATATATAAAAATATAAGAAGTATAATATATATTGCTGTGTATCTCAAAACATTCGGACAAGCGAAAACTATATTCATAAAAATAATTAATTCAAAAAGAAATAAAAAAATAATAATAATCGTATTATTTATTTATAAATTATAATTATATTTCTCATAACTCATATATAAAAGAAGAATAAAAAAAAATTTAATATTTATAATTTATTTATTCAATTTAATTTGTTTTTTAATATTACAGTTTTTTTTTGCTTTGAAAAACCTTAATACTAATACATCAAGCATATTAAATGTTCTATATCTTTCGCAAATTAATTTTATTTTGTACCATAAAAATTATTTTAAATTAAAAAAGCATTATTCTTGCAACCTCGGCATTTAGCAATTTCAACATTAAGTAAATTAATTTACTTTGGTAGAACATCAAAAAATGATTTGTACATAGATTTCATATGGCATTCCTATATACGTACATATATAAATAAATTTAAATATATATATATATATAATAAAAGCAAATTAATACATTCCGGCGTAATAATAGATCCACCATTTTAAAATAATATTCATTCTATTCCAAACTATACAGTCATATGCAAAACATGCTGTACTAAATTTTTTTAACAATATAAATATGATATAATAAATAATTTCCTTACATTTATATTTAGTTTTTTTTTTTTAATTATTTTATATTAAATATTTAATTTAATATTTGAATTTATATATTTTTTATCCTTTACACAGAATATGTGAACATCCTTAACTTACTCTGAAATTATGTCAAGGAATTGCTAGATACCACATAATTCAAATATATATTGTTCCTGAACAATGTGGTAAAACATATCGTTTGTTTATCTATCTGTTTAATTTTTAATATACATTTTAAATAATTAATAAATATTTGTTTGACAACAAAATCATTTGTGTGAAGGTTATTCAGGCTTGAGTAAACCCAAAGCAAGCTTTCTTTCTATTTTATTTTTAATTAAAATTGTTTAATTTTAAAATTAAATATACTCGTAATCTCTTACATTTGCAATATTTATTATTTAATAATTATTATTAAATTAAGTTTTCGAGTTGGTTTTAGTTATGTACAAGAAATTTTTTACGTCAAAGACGATTTTTTACCTTAAAGTTAATTTATTTTAAGTATTTTTTTATAATTAAATTAATTAATAATATAGTAAGAATATATGAATTGTATTTTGCAATTCTTGCGTATTAAATTATATTTTTAATAATTTTGTTTTTGTTTAAAGAATATAATTTATGTATTAGTCTAATTCTTATTTAATAATAGATTTAATTTCTTAATTTTAATATATATATGACATATTTTTTTTTCAAGTGAAATATTAATATACAATGTATGCTTTCAGCTATGTCTTAATTCATTCTAAATAATACATTCATATTAAGAACGCACAGCTATAACTTTAACTACATTTAATAATAATCTCATAAATTGTAAATAAATTACTTAATTTAATAAATAAATTATCTTTAATATATTAAGATTTCAATTAATTATTTATTTCTTAATCATATGTTTATAATAGTATATTAATAACGAACTACAATATACGCTGGTATTACCACCGTATAACAATGCATCAATATTTCATGGATCGCTTTATTTAACTACCTGCTAACAATAACTTTCATTTAAATTATTTAAAACTAAACTAAAGTTCAAAACTAATTTTAAAATATGTATATTATTGGTATTTTATGTTATTTAATTTCATATTAATATATTATTACATATATAATTTATTTTATATTAACATGTCAGTAAAATAATCATTTAAATAATTAAATATATTATATTAAGTGTATTTGGACGCACCGAAGTGCGGCAAAAAACATCAAGTCTGTTGCTTAAGTCTCCAGTTTGTACAATACTATTCTCTTGCTTTACCAGATTAGTTACGAATTGTCTAATCCTCTAACACTATTATTACTAAATAGTAAACTAAGAGACTTAGATTATCTAAGAGACTTAGATTATCTAAAAGGCTTAGATTATCTAAGAGACTTAGATTATCTAAGATCAATATTACCAAACTGATAAGCAATTTACTATGGAATATACTAATTTAAAAATATCGTGCATTCTTACCATTGCTTTTAATACGCTATTAATTTATTATAAATATTTCCAATTATTCAACATTAAGTATGTCTTGAATTTTATATGCTAGATATGCAAGATTTGTTAATTGCGAAATTATAATATTTGATAGACTGCAACAGTGAGAACAATATTCAGTAAGGACAATGTTAAGCAAAGCGTTTTGGCAAAATTGGCTCATTCGAGCATTGCCGAAAATGCATGTAATGTAGACTGTAGACTGTCATTGCCAATTTCGGATTTTTGCTACTTCTTGATACTTTTTGGTTGTGCCTAAATTTAAATGGCAATATAGATACGGTCACTCTCAATTTGTCACCAATAATAACCGACAAGAAAGTACTCATAGAAGCTGTAATAATAAAATATAATCTTATAATAATTGTTAATAGTTACAAGATTACATGCCTCTCCTTAATATTAGAAAGTGTGATAATTAGATTACTAGAGGTTTATAAAATAGGCTGTGTTACTTGTTGTTGTTGGAATATGAACGGCCATAATGTTTTTTATCTCACTCTCAATTTTATAATTTGCATTTGCACAACAACAATTTTATTCATGCCATGCCCGAGAGACTCTATATAACATGGACCTAAGAGACTTTAGCACGACATTTATTGTTTTTTGCCGCACTTCGGAGTGACTGAATACACCTATTGATGTGTTCTAATACTAATAAATTTCCTATTAGTATATACATATATAAAATATATACATAATATATAATATATATGAAATATATAATATATATAAAATATATAAAATATATAAGATATATAATATATATGAAATATATATAAGATATATAAGATATATAATATATATAAAATATATATAATATATACAAATATACATACACATATATTTTTATTTTTGTTTTTTATATTTATATATTAATATAATAATAAAGTGTCTTGCTTTTATTCTTTATTAGAATTATAATATATTTAATATTAATATATTATTGCAACAATAATATATTTTGTACTTATGTACTATTATAATAATATTTTACATTTTGTATTAATTCATTTTTTTAATAATATTATAATCTGTATTATTATTTTATTATAACTATTTTATACTATCATAATAATAATAATATATATATTTTGAATTAATACATTACTACAATAATATATTTTGTATAAATATATTATTATAAAAATAATTTAGTTTTGATGAATATATCATTTCAAAAATAACATATTGTTTATTATTATATCATAATATATTTCATATTATCATATTAATTAAATAATATGTTTTTTATTGATTAGTATATAATAATAATAATAATAATAATAATAATAATAATAATATATTAAGTATTTTTCATATTTTCTATAATTTAAATTTATTACTTTAATTTTTAATGGTTTTCAATTTTAAAAGTATTTATGTGTTCAATTTTTAATTAATTTACAAAATTTCTTTCTTTTGACAAATATATTATAATATAATTAATTAATGCAGAAAATTTTAGACTATATTGTTTTGTTTGAATATATTTAGATTTTACAATCTTTTCAAATAATATGTTTGTTCAACAATTCTAAATTCAATTTTATTAATTTTTTTTTTAATTATTTAGTCTCTTACAAGTTTAGTTCTATATATAAATAACTATTTCTTAATTTAAAATATAAAATATTTATTTGTAGTAACTACATTTAAAAATTCGGATTTAATTTGTTCATTTTCAAATAAAAGCTGAAGCAATATATAACTTTAAAATATTTCCAGATACGAGTACGAAAGAGTTCATTTAAAATAGTCTTTTTACATATAATCCAAGCAGTTGAATATGCTAAGAAAAAATGTTTAGATTTGACTTAAAATGCATTTATCTTGAAATATATATGTAATATTATACATATACATCAAACTGAAATTTTGAAATGTATGTTTGTATTATATAAACAACTTCGTTTAATATAAATTGTATCTACAATGCAATTTTCTGAAGTACGTTGTTGTAAGAAACTTTCACTGATGTGATTATTAAATTGAAAACTTAATATTAGTTAAAACTCTAAATGTGCATGAATATTTATTTATAATACATTTAATTTAATTTTGATATAATAAGTCAATAGACATTTTCATTGTCTATTGATCTATTTTTATTTTTTACAACCACTTTTGGATGTATGTCTGCTTCCAGTTCTATTTCTGATTTCTGATTATTAACCGTATAATTATTATATATTATTATTATATATTATTATTTTATATTATTATATATTATTATTTTATATTATTATATATCATATACATATATATATCTTAATATCTTTTAAATTATTTTGTTGTAAATTCTATTTACAAAATGTGTTTACAAGATTTTTTTGGGTTAGAATTTAAGTTTCTACTTCATAACATTTTAAAGACTATATACATAGAAGTTGAATAAATAAATACATACGTATACAAATATATATAAAAATATTGAATTATTAATATACTCACATAATATACACAGATAGTTTACAAAAATTATAAAAATCTTCATAAAGTTTTGAAAAATATTTAAGCATATACAATAAATCTAAATTATAAATTTAAATAATAAAATAAATATAATATTTGAATAAATAAACTAATGGTTGTTTAAAATAAATTTCTTCAAAACTTTCAATTTTATGTACTGTAAGAGTAAGTAGTCTTATAGTAAGAGATCGTTCTCCATAAACGGCATGCTTATATGGTGCCATCTACCTTATAAGCAATATTATTAAATACAATATTATTGAAGCCAATTTCGGTAACAGTTCAAAATACTTTTAGTTTTTATTTAAGTTAACGACTTAAGTTTAATTTCAAGATCAATATTCAACTCAATGTCATGCTTATTATATAAGTTAAACATTTTATTAAAATAATTTGAATATTTGCATACAAAGTAGCATTCAGTGTACATTTCAATATAGTATCTTAAAAATGTTTGCTCTACTGAAGTTTCCCAGATAATTTCCAGTTCATGCTGATTTTTTATTCAATTGCTATTGTTCTTTAACAAAGGACTCTAAACTTTGTTAATAAACAAAAACACGAATCTTTAACAAATCAAATCAAATTTTATTCAGTTCTATTTGGTACGAGTTCTGAAACGTTCTCTTTCATCAAAATTAAAAAACTGAACATTTACATTTCAATTTCAATGAAATCATTGTCTACTTGCATCGCCAGATTCGTATAGATTATAAGAATTTGGAATAGATAATTACGAGTACTTATGACGACTTTTGTTGAAACTTCATAATAGATTAAAAACATCTCCAGATCAAAGAAATACGCCAATGTGCTAAAGTGATGTTGTTTAATATTTACACCACGGTAGTCCGTGTCCAGTATAGCACCTTGGGCTGATGTACACTTAGCTAGTCAAATACTATATTTATATGTAAACAAGCTTGATTGATTTAGTTGTTTAATTTCTGAAAAAAAAGAACATTTATTTTAATATCATTTATAGTACATAAGTTTATAAATTAAGTTGTTAATTATATCACTTAAGAAAAGTGTTTTCAGTAACTATAATAATAAATATATTAATAAATATTTAATATATTTTAAATTTTAGTTTTATAAGAGAACTATTATATATAGATTATATATTTTATATAAATATATTATATAGATTATATTATATATATATATTTTTTTTTATTTTTTTTTGGTGAGAAGGTGGAAAGCTTTATGCACCGTCATACCGACCGTCGTCGGAAAGGTGTGCCCGACTCCCTAACATTAATGTGTAGTATACGGACTAAAATATTCCCTCTTTAGCGAGACTTATTCGCCTTCGAAACCGCTTTCGCATTACTTCGAGAAGATATATATTTATATATCTATATATATTATTATATATATTATAAAGTTTGTATTAGTGTTGCTGAAAAAACTACGTCATCTTTTATAATGACAAAGAAGATATATTTAAAATTTTGACGGTTTTCGAATAGCAAAGCAAGAAAGGACAAACACAAAAATTTATTTAATTTTATTGAAATTTGGCTGACCAAATATATTATATATTATATATATTAACAGATAATATAAAAGGAATTACGTATGCATCAGGTTAGGATCTGGTACATGATGGTAATGTGACCAGAGAGGAAATTGTTTGGGTGTAAGTTTAATGAAGTGAGAATGAGTGAAATTTAAATAAAAGTTAACCAGTGTCAAAATGGAGAAATCTAACCACTTCAATTGGCGGGTATCGAGTCTTAGTAGTTGTTGTTTAATGTTTATATTAAATAATATTTCATCTAGTCAAAATAAATTTATCTTAGTTAAAGCATTATGTTAAAATAATCTTGACAGATTAAGTGACGCTGATCAGATCACTGTAGGTCTGACCTGCCCACTGTTCCGATTCAAATACGACAGTATAGAAAAAGAATTTCAATCAGACACTAGATATGGTGAATAATATAGATAATAATATACCAAACTCTGCCAGATTATTAAACTATATAACTCTAAGCGATTTCATGAATTTTGTCTTGGAAATTTCCAGATACTAGCAATATATCGTTAGAATATTGTAGTTATTATATAGAGTATATATAATATAGAGTAGTGATATCGTTAATGATTTCGAATGTTAAGGACGAATAGTAACACCAAATGTTTGCGCTTAACTAAAGCTTTGAGCTTTAATATGGAAATGTGAATAGAGTGCTTACTAAAAGTAGGTTGGATCAAGTTTTGAGTTCTAATAGGGCGAAACTCATGTGCGTGTTTTGCGATATGGAAACATACTGCCCATGTCATGGGGAGCAGAACTGCAGTTAGGGCACAAATTGAGAATAGACGTGTTTATCATCATGAGTAACTGAACAACAACAATGTTTGTGGCGCGAGGAAATCGAATAAAGTTATTCGTAAAAACAAAGTTTACAGACCAGCATAAATACAACACGAATCAAAATTAAACAATCTTTAGAAGTATATCCGAATCTATATTCCTTCTCTGGTTAGTGAAAAGGCGTTAGTTGGTTTAAAACAAGATTTGTTTTATATGAAAATCTAATATAAAAATTTATAAAAGTAAGAAAAAGCAACCAGAAAGCCATTAGACGAGTTCTATATAGTAGTGCACTAAGTAACCTCTATTTTTTGTTTGTCAAATAATGATGTCATATTGTCTGGGGTTTGTTAAACTTCAAAATTAACTGATGCAAGACAGTCCTATAAGAAAATTGCCATTAAAAATATTTAAGAATAAAGTAAAAACTGGCAGAAAGTATATATATAAATATATATCGATATATCATCATAAATCATATTATTAATATCATGATATATAGTTAATCCCTATAAGAGGTGCAATGCCATTAAGGAAATCATACCAAAATATATCTTGTTAGCATCTAATACATAAGTTTCTAGCTTAGTTGATATTACTTTTAAAATACTTGTGATTTACTCGTACTCATTTTCAAGTAGTTAATATTTTTGATTCGTTTTCAACATGTTTTACCTTCTTGTACTGCGAGTATTGCGATTATATGGTGTTCTTGATCTCTTCACTGGATCAATATAATACTTTGACTGAATTTTGCTGGCTCTGGTTGGACGATTACTATTAGTTCTAAATAAAAATAGAGAGAATAATTAAAATGTTAACCTGCAATGTTAATAATACAAACAACATACTTGACATTTTCAGATATTGTAGCGCTGTACTCTTCCCCATCGGAATCAATCATTGATAGTTTAACTTCATTTTCGTCAGTTTCCATAGCTAAAGATTCTGCTGCTGCTTGAGCATTCTCTGCAGCTAATTTTTCTGCAGCAGCCTTTTCAAGTTTACTTTTTCTACCCCGTTTTCGTGGTATAGCTTGAATCTCAATCATTTCTTTAGCTTCATTAAGCTTTTCAGTTGAAACTGAATTGTCAACTTCCTGCAATAGTGTAACATGTTTGTTATCCTTTTCCATATTTATGCTGAAAAAAAATATTAATTGTTAAAACAAATATTTCTAATTTTTCAATTCTTAAGGGATCACATGTGCGAATGAATTTTGGTTCGACAGGTTTAAATCGTTTTTGATAGGTGGTACCGATCTGACCATTTGTCGAACCAAAATACTATAATCAAAAACCAGACTTACTTCATTTTCATTTCCTGCTTGGTTTCAACTTTACTTTCTGATGTATTTTGTTTGTCTTGCAATAGATTTCGTTCTCTTGGAATTGCTATACTTCTACGACGTGCTGTAATCGTTTTTGGTTCTACAGCATTATTATCGCTCTGCAATACTGAAGTAACTGAACCGATCGTTTCTTCGTTATTATTAACATTAGTTGTTGTGTTTTTAACATTCTTCTCTGCAGGCTTCACTTCCAAACCAACTTCATTATTTTTAGCACGTGACGGTGATTGTGCTTCTTTTAATGACTTTTTTAATGCAGTACGTAACTGTCTTATAGGATCAGCACCTATTCTACCATCAGGTCTAACAGCATCTTCATTCACAGTTCGTAAACCAATTGCTTGCATTAAATGTTGTCCTAGTAATGCTTTTCTAGTCAACTGACGATTTGCATCATTGACCGCATTTGCACCAAGTTCTGCAATTAAAACTTCACGGCTTGCAGTTTCGTTTGGAACATCAACAACCATTGGCTCAATATTCTGGGCGGCATTGGTGTTATTGTTTAGAGTCATAGTTGGAGTAGTAGTAGTTGCAGTTGTGGTTGTGGTTGTGGTTATTCCTGGAGAGGAAATAAGTGTTGAACCTCTATCAACTTCTATCACCGCAGCAGATGTTGAGGATGTCGCTTTGAGATCATTTAAATTTTTAGTTTCGTTTTCATTTGGAGAAGTTGTGAAAAACTTTGTAGTTATGGTTCCAGCAAAACTGACAGATCTAGTAGAGCTGCAGCTGGTTTTGGTTGATTTCGGTTTCTCATTACCAGCGTATTTAATGGTTGGTCGTCGTTTTACTATGGGAGCTGATAAGTTTAATGCTGGCATTTCTGTTACAATGCTATTTGTAGATGAGTTTGTTGTTTCGACTACAAACGGCTGCGGTTCAACTAAAACGACATCGTCAAATGGCAAATCACTGATAATTGGTGTTTCTATATACACCGATTTTGAACGATTACGTCGACTTGGTTTAATAGATACTAGTTCGTAATCCTTGAAATGAATAACATTCTTCATCAAAGGAGTTTGAGTTAGTTCTTCATCAGATATGACTATTGACGAATTTCGTCTTTTTGGGGTGGCACATTTGCGAAGTTTTTTTGGTGTGGTTGGTTTACGAGTGTGGGTAATTGGTACGTTTAAAATTTGCTTCTCTTCATCATCCGCCTCAGGACTGGCAGGTATAAGCTGTACCGAAGTTTCTGGTGGTAATTTGTATGGTAATGGATTAGTAACTTCTACTTTTGACCTAACATCTTTCATAGGTGTTAATATTTTCGGAGGAGTTACGATTAAATCGTGTGAATATAAATTAATAGCATTGGTGTTACTATTAAATGGTAATTGCTGACGCATTGAGCCTAATATTTTAGTGAGATCAGTGTCATTTAATAAATTTGGATCAGACATAATTGTCTGAAATGGACTTTGCTTAAGTCGTATCATTTGGTGTTCTATATACTTTTCACTGATTGGCCATTTAAGTGCGGTCAGTATTAACCTTAAAAGATCAGGATCTTTGATAACGTCACCAAGCAAAAGATCTTCTGAAATAGCAGTTTTTTCGGTATTCAAATTTGTTTGTTTGACAGCTTCATCATTGCGTACATTTTCTGTATTTTCGGGGATAATTGTCTTCTCTACAGGTTTGTATTGTTTCTGCGAGGATTTCAAAAGTGATATCTGACCAGTATTGGTATGCTTTATATTATTCGACATGATTTTCTTGCACTGTTGTTGCTGGTAAGCTAGCGTTGCTTCTATAGTGTTTTTAACATTTTTTCTTAGATCTGTAGGCATTGGAGTGGGTCTTGACTGTAGAACTGGCAATTTCTTTGGTTCTCCATTTAGAAATTGTAGAACACCCGGTGCTCTATTTTTAGTGGTACCATCTCCTTTAGCGGTTGCTTGAAATGCGCGCTGTGCTATGGACTTTGGTGCATACAATGTTTGTTTATTATTACTAGTTGTCGGCGCATTGGTGGGAGATATACTTAACACTTTTTGCGGTGAGACGTGTGCCGATAAATCAATTTCTGCACTTTCCTTGCTAACTACAGCAGCTAAAGGTGAAAATTCTGGAGTAGTGCTCACTTCATTGGCAATAGTAGTTTTTTCCTTCTGTAATATAAAAAAAAAAACAAATTAAAGTTTTGTGATGTTGAGTGAAAAAGTAATGAGTAATAAGTACTCACCAAAGTGTTATTCACATAGTCGAGAAAGACACCTTCCGTTTGGTTGGCAATTTTGGAAAGAGCTGCAGTAGACACCACCTGACGAAAGCACTTCTTGCATACATTTTTTGGTAATGGATCGTTTTCAGAAAGCTAAAATAAGAAGGGAGAAAATTTATAAAACGCTATTTATTATGGATGGGTACGATGTACCCAAAAACAAATATGTGCCATAAATAAACAAATATTTATTGTATGTATAAAAACTAAAGTTGTAAAATTTATGTTTAATATTATGTAAATGGTAATGGAAATTACCATTCCATATTAAATTACATTCACTCCAATAACATTCTTCGAGCGACCAGTCTACGTTCTGAAGTTTTTCGTCGCTCCCAGCACGGGTTATAATAACAATAACAAAGATTTTGTCTGACACCTACAAAATCGGTTAAAAAATACAAACACAAATGACTTAATAGTAAACTGTGATACTTTGTGGTTAATCATTTATTATAAATAAAATGAAAGCACATCGGTACTCTAAGTTATCGGGCTGTTATTGAAACAATGAACAAGTCACATCACGGACAAATTGTTTACTAAAGTAACCCAATATGATTTTACTACAAGTTGTATGATTTATAATTACCCAAACTATCTACTCCTTGAGTCGTAGAATTGATCATCAATGGATTTTTAATATGTATATGTACACATGTTTTGAAAGCAAATAAGCAAAACAAAGAAGTAATGAGTAGTGGCTTTTATTTTATTGTAGAAATTGGACACCTTTCCTGATATAAAATTTTTTTTATTGTTATTTTGTTATGTACAAAATGAAGAGGATCAAATATATCTTTTGTAAAAACCTATATATTATGATGACCAATTAATTATACATTTGAAATAAAAGAAGATTATAATCCTAGAGTTTTCATTTTTTAGCCGTAATATTAATTTATAGGATAAGTGTGAATCTCTTTGGCTCTTCTTTTAAAAGTATTTTGAAAGTTTTTATTTACTAAAAATACTATATTATAATATTGTATATGAATAGAAGAAATAAGCCAACTCCGAAAAGCATGTCTACGCACACGAAGACGCTACAAGAGAGCTAGACGAAATGGAACCAGTGAGGCAGAAGGTCGAGAATATACCCAAGCCGAAAAGAACTTAAAAAAGCGATTAACAAAAGTAAACGAAGAAAATGGGAGGAACTTAGAAATTATATAAATCATGATCCATGGGGCCTTGGATACAAAGTAGTCATGAAGAAACTAGGAGTAAAATCAGCAGTAAGTGATTTAGAAGAAAGGAAAATGACCGAAATTGTTAATACCCTGTTCCCAAACTATGATATCAGGAGTCACGAAAATGTCGCACAAGTTCACCCGGAAAATATTGAAAACTTCACGGAGACGATCGCCGCTAAAGAACTATAAAATAATAAAGCACCTGAACCGGATGGAGTGCCAAATGAAGTTTTAAAAATAATTGTGGAAAATAAACCTCAATTATTACTGACAATGTACAATACATGTCTTAGAGAGGGAATTTTCCCAGATATATGGAAAAGGCAGCGATAAGTGCTTATCGACAAAGGCAAGGGAAACAGAGATACTTCAGCGGCATTTAGACCATTAGATTTACTAAGCATCTTTTAAAAAGCATAAGAGAACAGTTCCTTTCCTCATTTTTAGTTCTTTTCCGATTAATTATTTGCATTTTGCCTAAATGATTATAATTGGATATATACGCAATGTCATTGGAACGCAATGCCAAGTCGCAAAGTTTCACATGAAAAATATCACCGACACTGTTGGTTAACTTAGGTTATAGCAGCGATCTTAAGGATCCACTAAGGCCCATTGGCCTATTGCGTTACCTACTAACACTCTAAGTCAATGCAAAAATTTAAATTTTAATTGCCACTAGGGAACGTGACTTGAAATTTACAACTATAAAGCTTAATATCTCAATGGTAAAATCTCTAGAATGGTGTTCAGAATGCCAATGTCTTCGAATTCCGTCGAATACTCGCAGCATCTAAGAAACTCTAATTGTGCCATACATAATTACAGTAACAGCTGTAGTTATTTATTTGTTCCCGATAAGCTTGACGTTTACTCTTAACTATGTTTATGCTCTGCACCAACAATGATTTATTTAACTTCTCAGTGAACTTGGAATTCATTTAAATTAATACATTAATACATTTGCGTACAAACACAACTATATATTACATGATAATAGCAGCAGCAGTGATTTCCCAGTAAAGTTATTAAATGTGCATCGCATGATACAGTAATGAAGTGCATCGCTCTCCAAGCTAAACTGCTATTTTGCAGCGCTTTTGTGCTCTAAAAATACAAACGACTCAATTCTTGATATGCGGGTAGCAATTTCGGCAAATATCCAACTTAATACGCACGATGATTTGAACCTCATTTAAAGCGGTCCGAACGAACAGAGAACGAAACGCTTACTTCCAATAACATGACAATATAAAAATGTGTGCATTTTGCAAAAAAGTGATGAACTGCACTGTAGCTTTGAAGTGTATTGATAGCGATACTAAAAAGCTCAACTGACTAATATATTTTAGTCTTGTATTCATATATACACACACTCTCTCATACTCTTCTTCATTTCAAAAGTAGAACATTAACAGGAACCGGCTATCAATTAACATTGAAATTAATCACATTTGGCAGGACCCTAGTCCGATCTATCCTCTAGTAAAGGTTTGGTTAGATTGACGTGGTGGATTTGTGCACCAAAGCCCACTTGAGCCCAAATAATAACCCGTTGTGACACCACAGATTAGCGTTGTTAACATATAGACTAGAAGGACCCCCAAAAGCATTGTAATGGTCAACGCACAGATAACCAAACGAGTTTATAAACTTGTATAAGTCTCCAAATGTGCAGTATGACTGTTACCGACTGTTAGGTCGGTAGGAAAACGTACCCCAAAAAATATTTAATTTTCTACTAGCCAGAGATGGGCTTTGACAAAAAAGGTGAAATACGAATTTCTCCGCCTCTTCAGAACTACAACCAACGTAAATGTTATAATAGTTTAAATTTAATCTCTTGTAAAACATTTTTACATTTAAGATACTCAACATCATTTAGAAAAATAAATTATCATTTCCTTAATTACTTTAATTATTTTCAAATGAATTATTATTAATTATAATAATTAATATTGATTATTAGCGTGATTCGGGCTGCTTTCTTGAATTTACTGGGACTTGAGGAGAAAACACGGGAGCATCTGTGGCTTAAGCTGTTAGGCGTCCCATTCTTTAACATCCTCGGTGATATTTTCAACATTAGTATTGGCAAGATATTTCTATTTATCGATGTGTCCGGCTAAAATGCCCATGACTTCATCTACAAATGTGAGGACTGTAGAATTAAAATATCTTTTTTTAGCTAATCGAGAAGAATCGGTCCTTCTTTCATTTAAACCACCTACCCATCTACATTCGTAATGCAAAAAATTAGTATTGATTCATATTAAAAAAAACAAACATTAAACAAGAACAATTCGATTTAAAAGGGAAATCATAATAACATAATAGGAAGAAACCAACAACAAAAGTAAGCTATTTAGGGTTCAGTTAGTCGGCACGTATCGTAAGAACTTAAGCGAACTTCTTTCGTTCCTATCAATTACATAGGTGTTGCTGGGTTGTGCATTTTGCTTTGGATTAAGTTCGCTTAAGTTTTTACGGTACGTACCGACTAACTGAGCTTTAACTCCACCACTTCACACAACATTGCTCAGTGAAAAAAGAGAATGACAACAAGAAAATAACAACAAAATTAGTACTTTTTGGCGATTAAATTTACTCTTATGACGCTTTAATATTTCAATGTTAATAAAGCCCTGTACGAGTAAAAGTAAATTAAGGTAAAGTAAATTAAAATTTCCTAGGAATTTTTTACGCTGCACTTATGTAAATAATTATTTTTTATTTATTCCACTTATTTTTTATTTATGGTTAAAAACTTTCAAATTTATTTATTTATTTTTTAAATATCTCACAAAAGTAATACCTAATTCATCTGATTTTTATCTGATTTACCCTATTCGAAATTCTGGTAAATACCAACATTCGCTGCCATACCGACATTATTTGCTATTTCCTTTAATTTACCATCAATTTACTCGTACTCGCACACGTCCTAAGATGGGAATTTTTCTTTCTACTCTCGTCCTGTAACAGTTGCACTACAGTCGGTAATGCCGCACTATACATTATGGCTATGATAAGAATGTAAACAGCTGTTGAGATTACTAATCTATAGTTAAACTGGTGATTAAAATGCCAATTTAAATTTAATTTGAAATCAAATATGACGAAAGAGACTTTTTTTTAGTAGAATAAATGCACGCATACGCACAGATAAGAGATTATCAAATTGTGCTTGATGACAAAGTAAATATACAAATGTATGTGTGTGTGTGTATGTGGTTGAGAAACATTTTACTTTGTTTATATAAATTTAAAAAAAAATACATAAATAAATTTGCGATTTTAAAATAAAATAAGTATGTCAATAATTAAGTATGTCTCTCTATCAAAGCAGTAAATCCCTTCAATGTTGAGCAAAACCATTACCGTTAATTTTTCAAGTCTTTGCCCCTGCATTCGCGCTCCGCAAAAACTTCAAAACAATACCAAAACAATATGTAAAAGTGCGCTAAAAGCATGCTGCGCTGAAAGAGACATAAAGCAATACAAATGCTTAAAGTTGATGTATAAGAATGAGAACTACACAAACGCAAGAAAACAAAAACAAAGAAAAAAAGAAAAAGAATACACAAAAAACAGTAAAAGCACATAGTAAAAAGCTCAGCACGAGAGCAGTAGTAGCACGCATTGATGAGTCAAAATTATCGTCATTCCAAGCGAGTAGCGCACCAACAGTAGCAGCGGCAGCGCAGCGCAGCGATCAGAACAGAAACAGCAACAGCAATTTGAAAAGTATTTTCATTGCAAATATAATTAATAAATAAATAAATTAAATACTATATTACTAAATAGTAAAAAAAATTGTAAATATTGCACTTTTTAATATTTTAAAAAAATATGGTTGGTTGGTTGGTACATTGTTTTTATTGATGAAAGATCAAA